GGTTTAGGGTCAGGGGGTCTTAGTTGATGGGTTAAAAAATGGAGATAACTGGGGACATTAAATACCTCATACGGTTAGAAGAACACTTACTAAGTCCCCCAAACCCTTAACCCTGAACCCCGTATGGCAGTGTCCAGTCTCTTCTCCTTTATTACTAATTCCCCCTGACCCTGACCATCCGAGTACTGGGCTTCAGGCTTGAGGACTCGAGGGTTGAGACTTGAAAAGTCTAGGTGGCTGCAATGCTCCGGGCTTAGGGTCCGCGGTTAGGGGTTTAGGGGTTTAGGGGTCTAGGGGGGGTCTGGGGGTTTAGAGGTTTAGGGTTTTAGTGCTTTAGGGAATTAGGGCCCAGGATTGCGCCTTTTAACTTTACCTAAACCCCAAAAGTAGGTAGAATAATAGCCCAAAATCCATATAAATAGCCCTAAAGGCCATTATTCTACATACTTTTGGGGTCCAGGTAGAGCTGTTGCCTGCCGAATTGGCGCCACGATCCCAGCCAGCTGCGCGAAGGTGTAAGCGCTTGCGTCACCTGGAGGCTTGGATTAGGGTTTAGGGTTTAGGGTTTGCAATGCTACCATGAGCTTTAATCTGAACGCCTTAAAGGGGGATCATAAAGGGTTTAGGGTTTAGGGTCTAAACTCTGTAAAGGGGGTTATGCATGGGAGTAGCATTGGTTTTATTGTGGGAGATACTAGAAGCTTAGACTACAACTAACATGCAACCTGCCATAGTTACTGCCGAAAAAGGTTGCACTAGTCTAAATAGACCCTCTTTTCGGGCTTCATGGTATACCAAGTTACCCCGCCCAAGCTGTAGTCTGTGCCCTGCTACAAGGACCACAAAAAGACACGGCACCTTGAAAAAAAAAGCACTTGCCCCCCCAGTATAATTTTTTACTCCCTCTATATACCATATCCCTGATAAAAGCAGCTCCACAAAAAGGCGCAGGCCCCTAACCAAACCCTGAACCCAATCAGATAAAGGGAGCTACGCACATTTCCATACATACCCCTATGTACCCCTTTACGCCACCATAGTTGCATTCCCACATATCCCTAAATCTCCCTAATTAACAAGCGCCGTCGTATATACATGGAATTCAGGATCCAAACATTGGCAACCGTCTCTAGGAACCCCCATATAAGCCCAGTTCCCAATGCATCTTGCAGGCTCTTTTTTATTAGTTCTCCATTCCTGGGGGAAGATCCGCAAGGCGCTACATTACCCCCTCAACCCTTAACCCCCAACCCTAAACCCCTAAACCCTAAACTTTAAACCCCTAATCCCCTAAACTCCTAAACCCCTAATCCCCTAACCCTAAAACAACCCCAAAATCCCTACACCCCTAAACCTCTAAACCCAGTTTAGGCTTCTACATTACCACAATACAACCTCAATGCAGCCCTAGCATATCCCCAATATAACCCCAATATAACCACAATTACCCCAATATTACCCTAATATAACCCCAATATCACCCCAATGTAACCCCTATATAACCCCTATTTAACCCCTATATAACCCCTATATAACCCCTTAGATTATTCAGTATAACGGCCACCTTCCAGGCATACTGCATCGGGGCAATCTCGTGCGGCTGTCAGCAGTAACTCTCCGAGATTCGTCTCCTGAGCTTCTTTTTTTTTAGACCCTTGGACTCTTATGTCTTATGTCTGCACTCGGTAGACATCAAAGGAGTTTAGGGTCTAGGGTTTAGGGTTTAGGGTGTAGGGTTTACGGTTTAAAGGTGTACGGTTTGAGGTGTGAGGTTTAGGGTTTGGGGCTATATAGGAGCTTGTAGGAACAGATAGGGTTACATAGGAGGAATGATGTGGGGGGGACATATAGGGGTAGGAGTAGGATTTAGCTTACGTTCCCTGGCCTCTTTCGGGGGAGGCTAGGGTACTGTACACGGTCTGGTGTTCCGGGTTTCGTTTGTGGGGGTTTGAATTTAAGGGTTCGGGCGATGTAGCGGCCTAAGAAGTCAGGATACCTTTTTTTGGGTGGGTCTATCTATAAAAGGATGAGAAGCTTATACACTCCAATTTCGAGGGCTAAAGGCTTAAGATTGGGGTTTACGGCTGGGGGGCAAATATGGTTTTGGGCTTCAGAGTTTGGAGTTCGGGGCTTCAGATGGTGTCAGGATTTGGGGCTTAGGGCTCAGGGCGTGAAGTATAACTCTTTAACACACATAACGAATCCCTCATCATTATCGAGTACTTGCTCCATCCCTACACAAAAACCCAGAACTAGCAATAATTTCTAACCTGAACTCTAAAGTGATAAGGGGCCAGAATGCCCGCGATAAAGCACGCATTGAAACATGGAGCTCTCTAAAACTTTCTGGCATGCCTAGCCTAGTCCTGGAGTAGGGGAGGTCTCCAGGTTTTACGGTTCAGGGTTTTGGGTGTATAAGGACTATGTGAAGATTACACTGCGATCCCCTTTGCGGGGATCATGCAAGGATCATTTTCGCAAAGCAACAAAATCATAAAGGTACCGAGCTGACCCCATACTACTATACCATCATACTATTACACTCTTAAACTATTATACTATTACATGAAACGCCCGCCAGCAAACCAGCCTCTCTGCTAATGCCCTGAAAGCCGACGGAGCCACAAACTGGGTCGCGGTTAAGGAGCTTCACTTCAGCTGCCATATTCTGGGTATGTAGTGGTTCATGGGGTTTCCATATTGTAGTACTTCAAGTTAGCTCCTTTAACCGCAAACCGGTAAATCCCAGAAAGAAGGTACCCGGAAGCCCTGCAGCATGTTAACCCCCAACCAGATCCTCCAAACCAGATAGCCCAACCTTGCGAAGACTCTGCACCCCAAGAATTGCAAAGTCTGAACCCATGCCTATAGCATTACCCTAAACCCTAAACCCCCAAAATGGCAAAGTCTGAACCCATGAGATTGCCCCGCCTCTCCAGACACGAACTCCTCACCTTCAATGGATCAGGACCAGGATTTGCCAAAGACCCTGTTTAGGGTTTAGGGGTTTAGGGGTTTAGGACCAGGATTTACCAAAGACCTCCAAGCGCCTCAAATAGGGCTCAAGGCCCTATGCAAGGGGTGTTCTATTTCGGTTATATTGGGATTATGGAAAATAAAATGGAAACCACTATTCTAGGGTATGTCTGTGGGTTATATTGGGATAGCATTTGGATGTATATCTGGGTAACGGTTTACGGTTCACGTTTACGGCTTTAGGAGCAGCCAAGGGCGGTCGTCAGGGATTTGAATTCAGCTGCTCCTGCGCACACCCCCTTCGAGTCCCAGACACCTTGTGAAAACCACAACTGAACTGCAGTTTCTTCTTGTTTTCTGCTTACCAACTCTAACCTAGAGGCTTCCGTGTCCAGGCGTGTAGCTCAACGGTTCTGAACCCTCAGAAGCCCGCCTTGTAAGGTGGTGATGGGAAGATCACGGGCCAAATCCATCTTCATGCAGCGCTGAATCAAAAGAAAGAGGCTCGGCGCGTAACTTGACAGAAGCTGAATTCGAAGCAATAATGCTGCGGTGCGTAGATGCAGATGCAAAAGCTTCTTGCCATCAAGCAGCGCTGAGGGATGTATGTAACGTGTACAAGCTAAGAAATGTATGCAATTCTGAACATCCCAACCCTCCACATTGCTCAGAGTAGATGGCTCGCTGCAATCTTGGTGTCCCCATTGTCACATGCAACCCTTGATTTGTAGAAATGCTATTTCTGGCTAGGGGACTTATGCTTTATGAGGACTGCAGATTCAGACTCAGGGCTTCTCCAGCTACGGGTTTCCTTTAAAACTAGGTAAGTGGGGTTACAGTTAAATATACGTAAGCCCCAAAGTCTTAAACGACTAAGCATGAGTCCTTGGGCAGAAGCGTTGAGACCTGGATTTGCCATCCTGCCTTGCGCCGCCCAACACATGACGACCAATGGCAGAACCCAACCTGAACCCTGAACGCTAAACAGCAGCCGTCGTAATCCCATCCCCGCCCAAGTCCTCCAGCTGGTGCCGGGGCCGGTCCGAGCCCTGATTCTCAAAATAAGGATAGCAGAGGGTTTCGGGGTTGGGGGTTTTCCCAAAACTAGGGGTACCCTTTTGGGGGTCCCAATAATGAGGATTATAGTATTTTGGGGTCTACATTGGGGTCCCCTTAGTTTGGGAAACTACCAGTTGGGGTGTAGTATTTTTGGTGGTTGAGACCGTTAGGGCTCCAATAGATGAGCAACAAAAGGACTACATCCTCGTAGTTTGGGCCATGGTATCCCGATTCCAAATAATGAACACAAGGGATGTTGCCCAGGTTCCCCTTCCAAGGGATAGAGGGAAAATCAAGACCTTCTAAGGTTTCTGCAGCTATATTTTTGCATGGAGTGCGCAGGGCTTTGGCAAAAAGATTTGTAGGATTCAGGCGTGTAGGTGTTTAAGATGTTGAATTTGGGTGGGTCCCCGTACTATGGAAATTCCATTAAGGGTTCAGGGTTACGGAGTGAGGGGTTGGGATTAAGGTGCATGGAGTTTAGCCGGTAAGCGGTCCCACTTGCATTCCAAAGGCGGAGACCCGATGTGGGAACCTCTACTTCATGGAACAAGGACATGAGCCAGAGTGGACTACTCAGGGGTAAGTAAGGGGGATACTAGGAGTTTAGACAACGGCTAGCATAGGGTTTAGGTATGTTGCAGCTTTCTCATCTCATAAGCCAATCCCCTGTCGGGCTTAAAAGGAAATACAGAGGAGTTTTCTCGGGACGCACTATAGGTCCTGAACGAAGCCGTTCTTTGCCCTCAGTGCCAACCTCTCCCAAGGATTAGCGTTATAGGGTTTAGGGTTATAGGCTATAGAGTTTAGGGTTTTGGGTTTAGTTATGGCAGGCTATTCTATAGTAGGATTGCAACCGTTGGGGCAGCTCCCTGAGGCCTCAAGTCTATGAAGCAGACAGCTACACCATGCCCACGTACGTTGATGTCACCTAAACCGCTAAACCCTAAGCACGTAACCCATCAAACTTGGGCTATTTGGAGCCCTGGGGGCTGCTTTGCAAAGTTGAAACATTCTCGCAACGAGCCAGTCCGTCTGTGGGTTTGTCTTGGCAGGGTCATGAGGGCCGAGTAACTGCTTATATAGTTGAGGTTACATTTCTACTGAGGTCCCCCTATGTGCTGTTATTTTGGCTACTCAAGCTGCAAGCAGGCTGGAAAGTACAAAACGAGTTGCTAAGCCCCATGAACCCCTGCAAATGTGAGGATGTGTGTCGAGAAGACTTTGCAGTTCGGAGATACATCACAGCAGAGATGATTGTAAAAGACGCTGTTGTGTTGGGGCTGCTTCATCCGGGACCATAAAGCTTCAAACCCATGGTGTCCCTGTCCACTCACGTCGGGTTGTCAGCAGGCCCTTATCCCTACTTTCACATGTAGCTTGAACTTGATTCAGGTTGGTCATTGGGATCGCTACTTGTGTCTACACTCTTCTTCCACGACAAAGTCTGAAGATCTGGTGAACGAAAATACTGGCATCTGTGTAGAGCTCCTGTATCATGCGTATTACTACCATTGCTGCTTCTACTATACTGCGGCTACTGTTTTGGGATGGAATTGGCCTGGGCAGGTGCTCACGCACATCGCCAGCTGCACCTTGTACTCCGCGTCGTAGCACATGCCTAAGATTGCAAGGGAGCCTCGGGAAGTTCCTGGTAGGATTAAGGCTTTCCCAAAATCAGCGTTACAAATTCTAGGTCCCTACAATCAGGACTGCAGTATCTTGGGGTCGACCTTATTTTGGGAGGTTACTGATGAGGAAGTACTGGGGACTACTAGGTCACCTACCCGTGCTCAACCATCCCTGGTTAAGGAATTTGTGATGAGAACCTTGTAGGTTCCAGGATAAAGTCTTGCTTGTTGCTTGAGACATATAAGCTGTAGTCTAAACTCCTTAAATCAAAGTGCATTGTATAGGGGATGATACAGGGGACTATTATAGGGGGAATTAAGGGGGATGCTAGGAGTTTGGACTACACCTAGACCTCAAACCAACCCTAAAACCCTAAACCCTAAACCCTAAATCCTAATACCCTAAACCCTAAAACCCTGAAACCCTAAATCCCTAAACCTTAAACCCTAAACCCTAAACCCTAAAACCCTAACACCCTAAAAACCTAAGCCCTAAGAAGTAATAGGCATCCTCAGAACACGCCTGGCGGCAAGTCGTTGAGCAAGCTGGTTGGGGTGTCAGGTTGATGGTTTTAGGGTTTAGGGTTTAGGATTTAGGGTTTTTGGGTTTAGGGTTTTAGGATTTAGGGTTTAGGTTGGGTACTGCCCCCCCTCACTAACAGTTGGAAAATAAATATAACAGGGTTATATATAGCCCTTAATATGACCCCAAATATAGACTATTTCTGAGAGGGGGCAGTACCCAAGTTTTAGGGTTGTAGGGTTTAGGGTTTTAGGGTTTAGGGCAGCAACCTCACATACCGGTCTGGGCTTGGCGAAGTAAAGGATTTACTATGTTATTGTATTACAGTATGTTGCTATAATTTATATATATATTACTATATACTACGGTATAAGACTAGATAGTACTCTATATATATATTATACTCTAGAGTACAAGATAGTAGCATACAGTACATTGCTATTACCTATATTACTCTATTATGGTCTCAGGCGCTGCGACCATGCTACAAGGTCTTGGCCCTATTTATGCAGTCCTGACACAAGACTACGGATTACCCACGCATTCCTAACGACCTTTTCTTGCCTTCCATAGCTGCTACACTACAACAAACACACCAAACTGTTCAGACCGCAAAGAACTTTATTATGGTCTTGCAAAAACGGATCTCATCAGCAGAAAGCTACAAGGGAGATTGCGCAAACTTTGAGCACGTGGGTTTCAAAAACCTTGACAAACGAACACAACGCACACTTGCAGAAAGCATGAGGCTGTGGGCATGCAGACAAAGCTCATGCATGGAAGACAAGAGCCTGCGCGGATCATGCTCAGTGATACCTTGCTCAGTGATACCTTTCGTGCTCACACACTGCGTACTTGTCGTTGCCCAAGACATTCAGTGGCTCATTTCATCCTTGATGTCCAAGGGTGATCATTTTGCCTTTGTCTGGCTGCAGACGAAAGAGGTCCCGACAAAACGTGCAGAAGCCCAACATCTGGCTGAAACAGCTGTTGTACAACACATTCTGAAGCCGTGTAAGAAGAGGAGTTGCTCCATACACTGCATTGTCGCTTGACAGGGAAAATACCCTTAGATGCTCGTGAAGCTATTGACCCCAAGACTCCCAAAGCCGAAGTCCCTAAGCGACAGAACCAAAATCCCAAAGCCTACACCCTTGAACCCTAAACCCCTATGACGTAAACCTCCCCCTAATTGATACCCTACCAGATCTGGCTCCACGTTGGGTACTAATCCCATCCCCCTGATATTCAAAGTCCCCCCCCGACATTAAAGCTTCCCATTATATTAAACCACGAAATGAATATCTAAGATTTGCGTTGTGAGGGGAAGTGATTATTTCAGACTGCAGATGTAAATTTCTGATTGGGCTTTTAGTATGGCAAAGTTAAGGCAATACATATTTGCATATTCCTGAGTCAGGCTGCGTGCAGCAGATTAAACTTTCATATTCAACAATCAGCGAAAAATAAAACTAAATCCCCTAGACGTAATCCCCGTGCCATTTAATTGTCCATGCCCCTCTGTTTAGTTCTCCATTACTGTTACCCTCATCAGATTGAACCGCGAACCCTAAACCCTTAACCCCAAACCGAAAACCCTGAACCCTAAAAAAAACCTATAAACCCTAAACCCCAAACCCTAAACCTAAACCCCAAACCCTAAACCCTGTAAACCAAAATCTTGGGGCCGGCGCAGGAAGGTTGGTCGCGGACCAGCGCGTGCGAAGGCAGCTCGGAACACTTCCTGGGAGTTTCTCGAACATGTTTGCTCTTTTTGATAAGATTTAGGGTTTAGGGGTCAGGGGGTTTGCAGCTGAGAGTTTTGGGTTTGGGGTTTTAGCATTTAGGGCTTCAAATGATAGACAGTGTCTGTCCTCCACTCGTACCCTTGAATAAGAACCCGTCTAAGGAGGTCTACCAGGCAATCTGTGTATTGATTTTGGAGTCCATCACCAAGGACGGCGCGGTTCCCAAATCTACCATGAGCCTCTTGAATGGTAGAGGAGAGGATGTGATAGCACTCTGGTCCTATGGTGGCATAATGAATTTCTAGTACAGTCATATAGTAGCAAGGGAATTTCCCAAGCGATAATAATAGGAAGGGCAAAAAAGTCATGCAGCAGCAAGAACCACAGTACTGGCAATTGCACCAGCAACATAGTAGTGATTTTAGTACAATTAATGGTAATCGTGAAGGGGATCAGGGGTTGTTTGCACACAAACGGGGTGTCCTGAAAATACGAACTTTAGAAACCCTAAACCCTGTTCCCTAAATAATCCCCGTGCGCAAAAGAAAAAAACCTTCTACGACTATCTAAACAGCCATGTCACCCTGCACTAGGCTGAGTGAAGCGCTTGCCCCCCAGCGTGGTCTTCACGGCTTCTCCTGACCGATCTAAAACTAGGTTCCTCAGTAACCCCTTAATAATAAGGGTGCCCTTTTTCCTACCTTTTCCTAATATTCAATTTTAATAAGGAGACACCCAAATGAAAAGAGAAAAAAGGTACTACTGGGGTACCTAGAAAAGTCCTTTGCCTATGGCAGACCTCCCCTAACAAAGTGTTTAATCCGCTTCATTTCTGTAGGCTCCTGTGTGACGACTTGAAGGGTTAAAGGGGCGTTCAAATTATGTAGGTAAACGCTGAGGATTACTGAGGTTGTCATACTGCTGTTAGGGTTTGCAGCACGCTTGCCAAGTCCCTCTAACCCTCCAAATAACTTGGGCTGTCAACAGGGGACCTGGAGCTATAAAATAAGTTCAGCTGAGTAGATGCCCACGTATAACTTGTATGAACCTGTCCCCTAGGGATCTACGTCACGGAAGATAGGTGCACTTGGCCCAAAGTAGGTACGTATTGTCTGTAAACGTATGTCCCCAAGGTTAAGACGAACTAACTACTGAAAACTTTGGACACCGAGCCTCGGCCCAAAGGAAACCTCAAAATCCAAGGACCCAAGCTCTTCCAGCTGGGCCCATAAATCCTGACGTGGACACAACCCAGGATGCAAAGACAGAAGCCGGGAGCCCGGAATTTCGGGGATCAACTGAACTAATTATCAGGGAAGACTGCAGGAAATCCTGACTCTTATGAGGAGTGCAATGCACAATCTTGGCAACGAGTGAAGCTTCTACATTGCCATCATCCCTCCAGGGACCTCTAAACCCAACTGCGCGGTACCTAACGATACGAAAGCAGTTGGAGCTACATGCTGGTATCCATATCTGCTGCCATCCCCGCAAGAACCGAACACCGAACGAGTTGGTCCCTCACCATACCCCAAGGGCCCAAGCACACAAGTAGTGTGTATGCAGGGCCCTGAGTACTTATACGGCGCATCTGGGCCCATGTTACTTACTAATTAGCTACGTGAGCCCTGAGGAACAAGGTTTAGGGTGCAAAGTTCAGTTATCATCCGAGGCCTGGAACCACGCCCTCGCACCACGCCTGCGCCACCGTGGAGAAGGGCATGAAAACTTTTATCTTACTACTTTGGGAGATTATGTGGGGGCTCCAGTAGGAGCTCGCCCTCCTCCATTCTGTACTAGCAAGCAGCAAGTTCATGCCGCAACTGCTCAGGCACTCCTGATCACCGCAGGCAGAAATGTCATGAATCATGCAATCTGCATTAGACGTTCACCATGACTCTCTGACATAAGACGGGTGCAAGCTGTTGGCCTTCGCCTCGAAACAAACTCTGCTGACTTCCGTAGGCAGTGGGGGGTGGCGGGAAGTGTGGGAGGCACAGGGGAAAAGGTGGCCGATCGGTGAGAGGTGGGAGGTTTGGGTGTGAGGCGTACGGTAGTCAGAGGTGGGTGGTGGATGGATAGGTGGGAGGAAGAGGTGAGGCGGAGGTTTCAGGAGTGGCAGGTTGAAATGGATATGATACAACTCTGAGACGCAACATCCTCAAGATCCCCCCGGACTTAAGTGCCCGAGTGCAACTGCCAAGGCAGGACTCAAAGGCGTCCCGTAGGAGGTTACTTTGAAAGAAGACCCAACACAACATCATCTAGAATCTAGATCCCCCAGGGCAAAAGCCCCAAAGGAGTTTACTTTGAAAAACCATGTTCCATAGCCTCTAGATCCCCAAGATTCGGAGGCTATCCCCAGGGTTCTTCTTGAACGAAGACCCAAACGCAACACCTGGAATTCTGAAACAGTAAACACAACGCCCTCCGGATCCCCCATGCAGGACATGCAGGTTAGTCAAAAGAACTTGCTTGGCAACCCTCGGAACCCAAAATGCAACGCCCTCTAAATTGCCCCAAGCCCCGTGTGTGGCTGCAAAAGGACTCGAAGCGCACACAAAAGTTTTACGTCCATCCCCCATGCATGACACGCATGGCCTCGAAACAGAACACATCACACCCCTGCTAGATCCCACCATGCAAGGTACAAAGAGCTCTTGGGTGTACTCAACTTACTCAACCTCGAACCACAACACGAAAACCTCTTCATCCCCCATGAAGGACATGCAGCGTGTACTGAGGCTACCCACAGGGCTTTACTTTCAACAGGGACAACCTCTACTCTAGATCCCCCGGGACTTAAGTGCCCGAGTGCAACTGCCGAAGCAGGACTCAAAAGCGTCCCGAAGGAGGGTACTTCGAAAGAAGACCCGACACAACACCATCTAGAATCTAGATCCCCCAGAGCAAAAGCCCCAAAGGAGCTTACGTTGAAAAAACCAAGCTCAGCAGACTCTAGGATTCCAGGACTCAAAAGCTACTCACAGGGTTCTACCTGAACGAAGACCCAAACGCAAAACATGGAACCCTGAAACAGAAAACACAACACCCTCTAAATCCCCCATGCAGAACATGCAGGCTAGTCGAGGGGTCTTGCTTTGCAACCACCCTTGGAACCCAAAATGCTTGCAACGCCCTCTACATCCCCCCGGCCCCGTGTGCAGCTAAAAGACTGGAAGCGCACACAAAGGCTTTACAGTGGTTTTATGTCTACGTGGAAACAACAGACAACACAACATCTCCTCAGATCCCCTGCGCATGACTCGCCTTGCCTTGCAACAGACAACATCACACCACCTTCTAGATCTCCCCATGCAAGGTACAAAGAGCTCTCAGGCTCTCAGGTGTACCCAACCTCCAAACACAGAACACGAAAACCGCTCGATCCCCCATGAAGGACATGCAGCGTGTATATACTGAGGCTACGCATAACAGTTTACTTTCAGCAAAGACAACCTCTAGCTCCCCCGGGATCTGAGTGCCCGAGTGCAACTGCCGAAGCAGGACTCAAAGGCGTCCCGAAGGAGGGCACTTTGAAAGGAGACTGAACAAAACACCTTCTAGATCCCCCAGGGCAAAAGCCCCAAAGGAGCTTACGTTGAAAAAACCAAGCTCAACAGACTCCAGGCCCGCAGGACTCAAAAGCTACCCAAAGGGTTCTACTTCAACAAAAACCCAAACGCAAAATCCGCAACCCTGAAAAAGAAAACGCAACACCCAATGGATCCCCATGCAAGGCTGGATAGTGCCGGCGGGTTGGCAGCCTTCCGGCATGAAATGGCTTGAAAGTACCTGCGGGTTGGCAGCCCGAGGGGCATTTCAAGCACAGAATGGCTTGAAAGTACCTGCGGGCTGGCAACACGCAGGCATTTGAAGCCCAAATGTCATGATGACAGTTCCTGAGGGCATGCAGGCTAATCGCGGGATCTTGCTTTGCAACCACCCTTGGAACCCCAAATGCAACGCCCTCTACATCCCTCCCGGCCCCGTGTGTGGCTGCAAAAGGACTCGGAGCGCACGCAAAGGTTTTACGTCTACATGGATTCGAAGGACAACTCGACATCTCCTAACATCGCCCATGCGCGAATCGCATGGCCTCGAAACAGAACACATCACCGCCCTGCTAGATCCCACCATGCAAGGTACAAAGAGCTCTTGGGTGTACTCAACTTACTCAACCTCGAACCACAACACGAAAACCTCTTCATCCCCCATGAAGGACATGCAGCGTGTACTGAGGCTACCCACAGGGCTTTACTTTCAACAGGGACAACCTCTACTCTAGATCCCCCGGGACTTAAGTGCCCGAGTGCAACTGCCGAAGCAGGACTCAAAAGCGTCCCGAAGGAGGGTACTTCGAAAGAAGACCCGACACAACACCATCTATAGATCCCCCAGGGCCAATGTCCCAAAGGATTTTACTTTTCAAAAACAAGTTCAACAGCTCGAGACCCTAGGACTCAAAGGCTACCCCAGAAAATTACTCGAATGAAGACCCAGAGGCAAAACCCGGAACCTGAAACAGCAACACCCTCTGGATTCCCCCATGTAGGACATGCAGGCTAGTCGAGGGATCTTGCTTATGGACCCCTCATGCCGAACTCACCGTGTACTCAATGTGTCTTGCTTTGATTTTGTAATGACACCCTCTAGCTCCTATGCATGGCTCGCAGCATGCTCAAGGGGCTTTATAGTCACCTCGTAAACCGACAACGCAGAACCCTCTGAATCCCTCATGCAGAACTTAGGATAGTCAAGGAATTGTGCTTGGCAATCAACCTGGAATAGAAAATGTAACAACCTTCGGGTCCCCCATGCGAGATGCACGATGCTCAAGGGATCTTGCTTCGCAACCAGCCTTGGAACAGAATACCCTTGGAACATAAAACACACCAACCTCTGTATCTCACATGCAAGACAGGCAGGCTACCAAAGGGATGTTGGTTCGCAACCAACTTTGGAACAGAAAGCCGCAACAACCACTACATCCCCCAGGGCGGATTGCGCGACTGCCGAAGCAGGACTGCAGGGCTACCTATGGGGTTACTTTGGTATTCTACTTCAAAAGAGAGAAACCACCACACTCTACGTCACTGGATCCCCCAGAACCTGACTGCGACTCTTGAGGCAGGACCCAAATGGAATTTGAAGCATTCTCTTTGGCATCACCCTCAGGAAGGAAAGCAGATCACTCTGCTATTGTTCCGGATTCCCTGGGCAACTGCCGAGGCAGGACTCGAAGGGTATTCAAGGTCTTCTTCGCTCTAATCGCCCTCAGACAATACCACACCCTGTTCCAGACTCCACGGGCCCCGAGTGCGACTGCCGAGGCAGGACTCGAAGGGCACGCGAACCCTGGTTTCTGGGGCCCCGATTGCGACGGCCGCAGCGGTACGGCAAGGGTGACACTGCGCCCTGCACTACAAGATGTACTGACGCAGCTGCTGCACAGATTGAACTTCCTAGACCCTCCTCCTACCCTCTATTAGGGCCTAAGTACCCGCAATTAGGGACCATATATCCCCAATTAGGGGTACAAGGAGGGTCCTGGTTCATATCATGCATTATGTAATCCCTATAATCCCCATATAACCCCTATAACTATAGTAGCTTCCATTTTATTTTCCACTATCCCAATATAACCCCAATATTCATAGTCTACCAATGTCTCAGCAGCTCAAAGGAGCTGAGGATGGCGCAGGGTCCAAGCTGTAGGGGACACACTTGTATAGGATTTAGGGTTTATATAGGGGTTATATAGGGACTATATAGGGATAATGGAAAAGAAAATGGAAACTACTATAATGGGGTTCCTAGGATTTAGGGGCCTTTTGCGCCGCTAATTCTGCTCCTAAGTCGGTACATGGACCTGCAAGATACGCTGAGTGGGAGACCTGATGCAAAATGCACGCTTCCAAGCACGGATTCTGGCAGACGATGCTCAAAGGCTATCTGCAAGCCAGGGGCTGCAGAGGCTGTAGCACCAGGGTGCTGTCCTCATCTGCGAGCTCTTTTCAACCGTAAACCCCACCCCTACTACGTACCTCACTTACCTCTGGTAAACCCTAAACCCTAAACCCTAAAAAGCCCACCTTAGAAGCCTAAACCCTATAAAGCCAACCTTTAAAACCCAAAACCTAAATCCTGAACCCTAAATCCTAAGCACCCCATTATAGAAGTTTCCATTTTCTTTTTCCATTATCGCTATGTAGTCCCTATATAACCCCTATATATACAATCCTATAAAAGCCCACCCCTAAACCCTAAACCTTAAACCTTAGAATCCCTAGACCCTAAGCCAGGCCTTGCAGCTGTAGAGATTTGCATCGCCGGGGCACGGGAGTAACCCATGGGATGCATTCTCCTTGCGAGGGTTTTGGGTTAAGTGTTTAGGGATTAGGGCTTAGGGATTAGGGTTTAGGATTTAGGGGTTAGGATTTATAGGGTTTAGGACTCAGGGCTTGCGGGTCGGCACTTTGAAGCACCCCAGGCTATTCATGAATAGGTTCCCTCATGCTACAGCATGATGAGTTTAGGGAAGGGTGGTGACACAGCCTGAGGGCAAATAGGCTGGTTTCAACGTTGTTGAAGTGGCGTTCTGCGCTCACCGTTTTTTGAGCCTCTCCAATCTCCGAGCGATCTTTTCCTCTGAGCCTGCCCTTGGGGGTTGAGTGATTGGAGCATGTGCCACCACGGAAGCACGTTCATCCAGCTCCTCCTTTTCGTCATTGCTCAAACACGCGGAAATGACCATCCGTCCTTTTGGGTGTTACGTCCTAGAAGGAGGAAAATGCAATGCCTTTCGCGAATCTCAAGCTCTTCAAATTCAAAACGCCATGCGGCCTCAAGCCCTGTACCCGAAAACCAGTAAAGTCAACCCTTCAAAAGCCTGGATTCTAAAGGCTTAAGAAGTATGACAAAATTCGGATCCCAGCCTCAAGATCTGGTAGTTCTTAGTGTTCAGCTCCCTCTCCCAAATAGTCCCTAAACCCTAAACCCTACATCCCAAACCCTGAACCCTACACCCTAAACCCCAAAACCTAAACCCTCAAAACCCTAAAACCTAAATACTAGCTACGAAGGACCTGGGCTTGGTTCTGCTGCCTCCTTGGTCACTTTGGAGCTCAAGGACTTGACCTGGGAGGGTTTAGGGTTTAGGGTTTAGCGTTTAGGGTTTAGTGGAGTTTAAGGTTTATATATAGGGATTTATTTAGGGATAATGGAAATAAAATGGAAACTACTATAGTATGTAGGGATTATATAGGGTTTAGGAGTTTCTCAAGGTGTTCTCTGGAGTTTAGGGTTTAGGGCTTAAATGTTTAGGATTTAGAGTTTAGGGATTAATGGGGTTGGGATTAAGGGCTGAGGGTTTAAGGATTAAGGGTTTAGGGTTAAGGGTATGGGGTTTCAGGTGTCGGGTTTAGAAATTCAAGGGTCCAGGGTTTAGGGTTTAAGGGTTTAGGAATATATGATGCAAGGGGTAGGACTCCTTATCCAGGGACCCTCCTGATCCGCTTATAACCCTCGTATACCGACCCTCTTGATCGCCCTATCCCTAGATTCTCTGCGGGTAGCCCCAAACGGAAACAACCACCTGACAGTCTTGAAGGGTAGGGCCACTTGCTCTCCATGGTGTGTAACAAGGAAAAGGGCTACCGGGGGGACTCTGGGGGAACAAGGGACGACTGGTGGCATCTACTCCCTCGTACCAACGTCGATCCCCACAGGGCTGAGACCTTTCTGGGACTCCATGTCAGTTTTTGTGGGGCTTAGTGGTTTAGGGCTGATAGGGTCTGAGGCTCTCTCTCCGAGCTGACATTACTATACATATTTTCAAGCTGCTTGCCCTAACTGGAAAAATGACCATTGCTGGAACCCCCTTGAAAGGGAACCAGTCTTGAGGGATCGAAGAAGACCTCATATCCTTTCTACAAAGAGAATAGCATCCTCTGGAAGAAATCCCTACACGAGCCAGGATAAATGTATGGCCTAAGGAACATTGATGGTGAAAAAGGAATTGTCTCGCGCAGGGCTTGCCATATCAGCATCAAGCTGCCATCAACATCAGCAGTTCTTACCTTGATGTCATGCGCGGCTGTCTCCTTCCTACAACCTTTTTTTTCAAATTGAAACGCTGCTCGCCGTACTTCATATCCTCTTCCTTGGTAGTTTATATTCTAGTTTATATTAATATAGACAATGTGTAGACGTATAGACTAACGATGCAGGAACCTGATTCTTGCAATATGTGCTTGATACATATTCGGCGACAATGTACCCAACTGTCTCAAGGACTTTCAGGGCAATACCAGAGGAAACTACCATCGAATGTCTCCATGCCTCCTGCAACTTCTGTACAACCCACAAATTCCTCTTCGAGCCGCCAGCAATTTCAACGTTGCGGACTGATCACAGACAGTATTTTGAATTTTGAAACCTCATCAACCTCACTGAACCTCAAACCCTAGCTCATAAAATCGCAAGACCCAAGACCCACAACCCCTAATGACTTGACTGAACCTCTACACCCCAAACCCTTGAAACCTCCCAAAGCCTTGAATCCCCCAGAACCTTCGAAACCCCCAACCAATTGAAATTCCCAAGCCCTTGATCTCCTCAAAACCCTGCCAGGCCGCAGGCAAAGGTGGCCTTAGACTTCACTTGGCGTACTGCCCTGGCACCTGCACAGTAGATGTTATATGGGGATTTCCCAGAATCAGGAATACTTTTTGGAGGTTCACATCATGAGAATTGTACTATTCGGGTTCTAGATTGGGGTCCCTTATTTATGGAAACTACTTAATGGCGTGGTTGCCGAATTACGGTACCTCACCCTACATATCAG